AAGTAGCCGGCTTCGTATCGGCCCACTTGTGGATGGGAAAAATCTGAGCGGATTTCCTGCTCTCGCCCGTCCCTCCGCCCACTGCGCCTCGCCGCTCGGCCAGCGGGGCAGAAGAGAGCCTGAGCTCGTTCGGACGGAGGTGGTGGCGGGGGCCGGGGGTTGCGGTTTGTTTTTGTTTGACACAGCAGTCATCATCAACTCAGCGAAGGGTTCCATTCATTCCTGGTGACTCATGATAGGCCTGCTCAAGTGTCCATTAGTGGCAAGGTGCTCCGCTGAGGTTGGATAGGTCACGGTGTTTAAGGGTGATTATCTTCCTGCAGGCTCAGAGAAACAGGTGTTAAATGTTGGGATGGGTGGAACATTTGAACGAAATAAAAGACCAATTGCGGCTCCAGTTAGGATGAAACACGGCCAATTGTTTTTGCTTTTTTTAACCTTTTAGTTTAGGCTGTCTCTGCATGGAAGACTTGCGAAGAAGCTCTGTTTTTTTTCATAAGAGAAAAACAGGTTTTCCAACAGTTTTTGGTTTTGGTTAATCTTTTGAAACATCTTCTCGTTTTTGATGACTCCAGCGATTAGTAATCTTGTTCATCTCTCCAGGACAGTTTCCCCCCGGTCTGTAAGCCATTTATTATTACTTATTTTTTTCCCCCCTCTTTGTCCACAGTTTTCAGGGGCCCACATTGTTTCCCCTCTGGTGGATAATCTGATTACATTTCAATTTGCACGTGACTGTCTGGTGGAGGACAGGCTTACTGCTGCATCGTCTGAACTCTGGTCAGTGAGGCTATTTAATGGGAAATAAGATCATTATCCCCTGATTTATTTATTTATTTTTTTTAGCACCAGAAGCAGAAGAAACGTTGACAGAGAGCAGATGGACTGGGAAGTGATTGGATTCTTTTTTTTTTTTAATTATACCGTTGTACGTTATTTATTGCAGTGGCATAATCTCACTGAAAATATAAGAAAAATCAGAAATTTAGGAACATTTACATGGAAAGAAAATCCTTAAGATTATTTTTTTTTTTCCAAATAAAATTCTTTACGCCCAGTTATTGAAACACTTCTAATTAAACAAATATGGAAATAAAATTTTTTTTTCAATATGGAAATTTAAGCATTACATTTTAAAGTCCCTAATAAATGACTGTTAAAGCCTGTTTGTCTTAGGCACTCTTCAAAAGGGGAAGCACAAGAAAACATGCCATTCAAAAGCGAGGCGTGTGATTGAGCTTCAAAATTCAGGAAATGGTTATCAGAGAAAAAAAAGCCACTCAAAGAAAATATTTTAAGAAGCTGAAAGCAAATTGAAACACAAGAACGGATAAGGGTCCATTTTTATCTTGTCGCCACCCACAGAGAGCTGGACCGAAAGGGAAGTAAAACAAATCCCTAAAGTTCACTTTTAGAAAACAGTTCTGTGTTTTTTATGAAAACTTAAAACAGCCTCTCTGTTGTAAACTTGTGAAGTTAACCAGACGCTGCCAGGAATTTCTCTGTAAGATTGCGGTTGAATTTTTCAGGAACAAAAACTCAAAGTGGATCCGGGATGACAATGCAGAAAAGCACCTGATATGCTGGGGAACATGTGTGATGCTATGGAAGAGTCAGTGCTTCTTCTTATTTGAAACTTTGGCCTCTTTGATCAGCACATGTTCAGTGTAGCTCTGATGGACTTTTCATTTTAAAAGTATAAGGACTCAAATGAGCACAGTCACAAAATAATAACGCCTATCCAAAATCTGTGAGATTTTATATTTGACAAAATGCAGCCATATTGGCAAGAGAAATTTTATTTCTGAATTTATGAAGTACTTATTACCAGTAAAAGTAAATTTTTTTTATTATTATTTACAGTCCAAGAATATGCCAAATAGTGCATATTATTACATATGGCAGCATATTATGTCTTCCTAATAAGGGCTATACATAAATGTGTAAAAATACTGTATATTTAGTTCTCACATATGCAGAAGTAAAAATGCCACCAACCATTTACTTTCTCGGAATTAGTAATTCGGCGTATGAAACAAAGGACAGATCCGCTTATTCTTTTTAAAGGCCATTTTTATAACTTTATTTCACTTGTGTTGGAAATTGTAAACAGGTCAGATCACAAATATGGATCTTAATTCAGTGCAGAAGAAAAGCACCTTTTCTGACTCTTCCCTGGCATCTCCTATTAGCATAAATATTCTGCCACCCCAAACAACCAGCTAAAGCGGCGGTTTTCAAAGTGTGAGGCGCGCCTCTCCTGGGGGGCGCCAGAGCACATTAGGGGAGGCGCGGTGCGAGGGAAAAAATAAACCGAAGAAGAAACTATCCGCTTGCTGTCTGCTGGTGTGAGAGAAAAAAATTGACAAATCTTTAGTAAACGTGTTCATCTCCTTCACGGAGATGTGCAGAACGAAAGGAAATGTGCAACATTTACAGATGTGTTCCAAAGATCTGCTCAAAATGTTTTTGTTAAGATGTGAAAACACTGTTGGTATCTCAAACATTAAACTCAGAATCTCAGCTATAACGTTTGTTTGAGAAAACGGTGGAAAATGAGTGGGGTTGTTCTTATCATTAGAAAAATGAAAAGAGGGCGTATTTGCCATCCAAAGGCCCTGATAAAATACTTAAAATGGGAGGAAATGTTTTAAAATGTTCATGTGTTAAATTTCATTCAGATAAAGTGTCATTTTAAAAGATGAGATGGTTCTAAAATAAAAGCAATTAGAAGGTGTTTTGTAGTGGCATTTGTGTGTGTGTGTGTGTGTGGGTGGGCGCAGCAGGCATTGTGCTCCTTGGAGGGGGGGCTCACCCTTTCATACTTTGAAAACCCCTGAGCTAAAGGAAGTTCTACATACGTGTTTATTTACACAGAATCTAACACTTATTCCATGTGAAGCTTCATCTGTGAGTTTCCTTTGTGAAACATGAACAGAACAAATAGACTGTTTCCGATCACACCAGCTCCCTGATACAAAAGAAAAAAAAAACAGCTATAACTTAAACCACTGTAATAATTTTTTGCTGTTTACATTGTTTTTATTGCTGCATGTAACCGAAGACGCTTCGCTCGTCTGGTCACGATTATGTGTTGCAGATGGGAAGATCATTTGGGGTGCACTGCCTCCTACCTCAATTTCCCATTTAAATAATTGATGGGTTCTTTGAATAGACCTACCCAAAGCAAACATGGCAGCCCTTTAAAATGTTCCCTGACCACATAAGCTGTTATAACATTGTTAAATCTGAATCGCTTTAGGAAGCAAGAAGTGTGCATTCGTCTTGGTTCCTCTTGTGAGTAGGTGTTGGCTTTGGGCTCTGGGACAAGCTAATCTAGATTTAACCTCAATGAACACAAAAGAAAATGATCCACTGCATGCATCACCTGCTTAAACCCCTTAAACAGAACCACACTTGAAAACTAACGAGCTACCTCTCCGTATCACATTGGTTTTGTGGGACACCTGAGTGACAATTCATCATATTAGGGACAATAATTTGGGTAGAAAGACTGAAAAGCAAACCAATCTGACAGCAGTTGAGAAATCCTTGTGGATGAAGGTGAAAATCTGAAAGGCACTTTGATTCACGCGCTCTTTTAGGACTCACTGACGGTTTAAAGGGAGCTTTAAACTGTCCTCTTTTCTCTTTAGATCTTTTTTTATTCCAGTAATGTAAGAGGTCTGGATTTGATAACATACTTTCTTTCTAAAGAATGTCAGCCACATCTGCACTCCTGGCGGTGGCGCTTCTCGCCTGTTGGACATGATCTTCCCGGGAACAATCCCCGTATGGCACTGAGGCGCTTTCCAGCAGCCTGTACCAGACTAGATAGATAAGAGGCTCTGGTGCAAGGGTAGTCATTTTCATTGCAAGACTTTAAAACATATGATTGTTCTCCTCCCCCACCTTATCCTCTTGTGATTATGATCAATTATCCACTTGTAATTAGAGCCTGGCAGTAACTGAGCTTATGGGCTCTGACACTCTGTGTAATAGCCTGTAATAATGTTGTCAGTCACATTTCATACAGTCCACGCGCACAGGCAGGCTTCCTGTGAACATTTCTTTTAACGTTTCCATTGTGTAGTGATAAGAATAGCTGACTGCACGAGTAAAATGTGCCGTTTGGATCGATTAAACGGTCATAATGACTTTCAGGTTTAAGCAAAAGGATGAGATTTACATTTAATCGGGCAACTTTCAGAACAAAAAATATAAATCAGAAAATGTACGTGAATCACAGCACGGTGTTGAAAAGTCTGACCGTTTACTGAAGAAAAGGTGCTCTGGTGGTGTGATATTAGTCAACGATGTTGAAGTCTCGGTGCCTATCTGTATTTCTCTTTCTGTTTGACTCGTGCTCCGACCTCATTCAGACTCCCGTTTGAGAAATGGAGCAAAGCAAACTGTCTGAAGAGCCACTTCCTGTTGTGTACTGAAGATCCCTGTCATGTGATAGCGTCAGTTGATGGAGGCGTGCGAGGAGGGCAGGGGAGCGCCGAGGGAATAGGGTGGCACTGCTGCTGATCTTGCTGATGTGCACACAGCTACCATTCCCCCTCACCTCAGCCCATCACCCTGATTGTGTAAAGTGTTGACTCAGCTGCTGTGGCATCAAGACCCTCCGACCCCCCCGGGCTGTGCACCACTAACGCACAATCACAGAGTCACCATGTAGACCTGAATAGCAGCGGTGCACAACGCGAGCTTGAGAGTAGTTTATCTAAACTCCATTTCATTGGCTTTGTATGTCTGCTTGGTGTGTATCGACCATGTTTTATGTTACCACTGCAAATGTGTGTTTAGACCTACAATGATTGTGAACTTTTGATCTGTGATCTACCCAGAATTAGGCAAACAGCCAGCAGATTCTGCCCACAATACATTTTTGGTTAAAATATCTGATTAGCTTTATTGATTTTGAAGCCAAAGTGACGCCATTTACTAACAATGTTCCTGTTTGTTTCCACTTTTGTCTCCTCTCGACTCTGCAGGTCCTGTGATGAAAATATCATTGTGACATATGTGTGGAAATGCACTAAAATTAAGGCTGACCAAGACATAACAAGGAGTACAAAAAGTGGCGTGGATCAGCAGAACCTGAGAAAAGTACCCACAATGACTTATCAGGACCTGAAAAAGAAACTGATATGTTGAGTTTTTACTGGAGATTATTGACTTTACTTAAGTCTTGAGATCTGAGTGTGGCGTTTTAACTGACAGGACTGATACAGAAATATATCCCTAGATGTACTTCTCTAGATAGCAGTGATTTCCAATGTTTCTGAACCTGTGAACAACCAGGTACAAAAGGGGGTTTCATCCATACCATGAATCCTAGAGACAGCGTAGAGCTCATGGAGACCCAAGAGAAGCTGACTGGCAAAAAAGCCAACACTGAAAGTGAGTTTGAAGGCGAGGATGACAAAATCCCAGAGGCATACAACTGCAACATCTGTGGACGCAGCTTCCCTTTCCTCAGCTCGTTCTCGCAGCACATGAGACGCCACACGGGCGCACGCCCTTATAAATGTCCCTACTGCGACCACAGGGCATCTCAGAAGGGCAACCTCAAAGTCCATATCCGCAGCCACAAACTGGGCACGCTGTCCAGCCACCACTCTAATGAGGACGAAGAGGGCGGAGCGGAGGAAGAGGAGATGAAGGTTTCCGAGGGTCTGGATGGAGGCACCAGTCCAACTAAGAGCAGCTCTGCCTGTAACAAGATGATCAATGGGGATGTAGGAGAGGAGAGTCGAAGGAAAATGCCTGCGCGGAGCATGAAAAGAGAAAAGTCTGTCAGCAACCAGCGGCCGTATTGTTGCCGGCTTTGTGGGTACGAGGCCCTGCGGGAAGACCAGCTCCTGAGCCACATTGAGAAAGTCCACATAACAGCAGACGCAGAAGAGGACACAGTCATGGTTAAGGAAGAGGTCTTTGCCGAGCCTGATACCGTCCAGCCGCAAAGCGATGGGACATTCCCCTGCGAGACCTGTGGCCAGGTGTTCAGCCAGGCCTGGTTTCTGAAGTCGCACATGAAGAAACACGCCGGAATCCTTGACCACTGCTGCCGAATATGTGGAAGACGGTTCCGCGAAGCTTGGTTTCTCAAGTCTCATATGAAAACCCACAATACCAGGTCCAGGTCTCGCTCCAAAACAGATTCGGCAGAGCCTCCCACCACTATAAATGACGTAGCACAGGATCCCGACATAATGACAACTTCTGTTACATCTGTCTATCAGATGTGCTCGAAATGTGGAAACCTTTTCCACAGCAAAGAAAGCCTGAGAGCCCACGATAAAGTTCACAGTCCTAATTTTGGCAGAAAATCCCCAGTTCACTGCAGGTCGACTGATGATGAGGATTCACCAGCGGCAAAGAGACGTCTCCTGGAATACTTTAACCTACAAGGTGTTGAGGAAAAGACGCCGGGTGAAGAGGAGGACAGCGAGAAAGGGACTCTTGGTCAAAGAATTCCAGAACTAGATCCAATTTGCAGCTACCAGGCTTGGCAATTAGCTACTAAAGGAAGAGTTGTGGAGCCAATGGAGCCAAGTTACAAAGCTTCATATGCCGGAGGGAGCATGGAGGAGGAAGCCCTTACCGATGCCGCAGTGGTTTATGAGAAGGAGAACAGCCGTTATGTCTTGCAAGGCCAAGAAAAACGTAGCTCAGGGAGACGCAGCAGCTCAGGGTTGGGAAGCCACGCATCTTCGGGTGACAGGACACCGGAAAGCCTCAGCGACTCAGAGTACCGCCCCTCAAGTCGTCAGGACAAACGCCGACCGTCCCAGTCACAAGCGTCTTTTTCCAAGGGCAAAGAGTGCTTCGAGTGTGGCAAGATGTTCCGCAGCCGCCATCAGATGATTGTCCACCAGCGGGTTCATAGGAAGGATGGCGGCAGGGCAACAGCGGGAGACAAGGAAAGAACTGGAAGGGACGATCAGTGGGGACCCACCAGTGACCCGGAGTCCGGCTCCCCCAGCAGACCCAGCACCCCAGGGTATGGAGATTCCCCACCTGAGTCGACGCTTGGAGATCAGGCCTCCGAGATGGGAACCTCAAACTCTGGAGAAATTGCAGGTTAGTCAGAAACGTTTGACTTTTTCTGTCCTCCTTCATGCACAACAAAAATCCTTTACATAAGATAGTTAGAAAACAGTGACGAGAGAAGTAACACTGTCATTACAGATAAATACAAAGAATTAGCTAGTAAGTACTTGCCTTACATTATGGCTTCTAGTGCTTTGCATTAGCTGTTGATACTGCAACAATTTCTGTCAGCAGTTTTAATTGCAGAACGGACTGTGGACCTCATTAAGTCTCCCACTCGATGCCTCTGTCATTCTGATGTAAACAACTAATGATGAAGAATGCTCGGCTTATCAGTGTCTGTGTACGAGTGGGCACTGGAGCCACCATGTGGTGAAATGTCCAAACTTCATCAGTTTGAGTTGCACTTTTAAAAAAATGTGCTGTTTAAAAATACTATCAAACAGATCGCACAGCTTCCAGTTCTGCTGGAGAGCTTGTTGACATTATTATGTAACGTGAGCCAGCTGTGAACTTCACAGTGTCACTGAAGCTCTTCTTCCTGGTGACACTTGAGCAGTACAAAAGGCGTTTTTGGAATGCTAATCATTTTTACCAAACCCTTTGTAGCCCAGTGACAGTACGGCTTAAATAGAAAATAAAGAAGGAAAGTCAGAAGCAAACATAACCATTACTGAAAAATGCTCAATGATGGGCTGTGATATATGTTCTTCCTAATATTTCTGCATAACCTGATGCATTTGTTTACATTAGCAAAGAAACAAAGCGACCGTCTTCGCTCTTCCCAGCTGGTGCTGACGTTCTAAAATAGCTGCAACATTTCTTCAGGCCCAATTGAGCTGTGTGCTATTTCAGGTCTTCCTGTCTCAGGAAACTAACCCCCCTTCTCTCTCCCCTTTAGATCTGTGTGAATATGCTTTTCACTTATTGACACATCTTTCAGCCACTTAAGCATCATTTTATGTCAATGTTAAAACAAATTGCTGTGACAGAGAGTTATCAACATGAGGGGGCAGGGGGGGGGCAAACAAAAGGGGTTGTTGCACTTGGGCATTCCTAGGCAGAGGCTTCTCCTTTCTAGTAGTAGGTTGAAGTGTAGATCGTTTTTTTCTTCTTGGTTTATCTCTGTATGTCTACTAACATGCACAATGTCCTAATGTTCCTGTTTGTTTTTGTACTGATGAGTGACGTTTATTTTAAATTGGTCGCTCTTCCGTCAAGAACTTGTTTCCTGACCAGACAAAACTTTGATTAATGTGGAAACCCTTTTTTTTTCAATTACAAGGCTGTGAACGCCACCTTGTGGACAATTGAGGGAGCTGCACATCAGAGAAATTTGTTAGTTCAATAAAACAGATGTAAGAAACTAAATTTAAAAAATAGTACAATAGAAATTTCTGCAGAGGATCTTAAAAACATAATAATAATAGTGAATTATCATTATTTGTATTATATTTATAATAGAATTATTGTTATGTCATTATCATTATGATAATAATATAGTAAAAATCATCATCAATATTTATCATCTTGCTACAACAAACCTAACAAATGTATTCATCATTTGATTTTTGTATGGCGTTGAACTAGAAACTTATCTTAAGGTGACCTTTTAAATCAGATTTTATATGGGGCTACACTGACCTCTGGTGCTTATTTTCTATAACTACATAGAGACAAACCATAAATCTGGAGGATTGTTGCCGGAGTTTAGATTGGTATATTAAACATTGTGTATATTTTGTAGCGTCTGATTTTAGTAACTATGTCTATTTTTTCCCCCTCACAGATGAAAAGCCATACATCTGCAGCCTTTGTGACTTTGTCACTGCAGAGTCACAGGCTTACTTCACCCATGTTCGTGTCCAACACCAGGCTGCCTCCAAAGACAGACCCAGTCCTGTCCCCAGTCCCAGCTCCAGCTCAGACAGAGGGTCCCTCAGCAGTTATCCAAAACTTAAGAAAGCTTTTACTCCAGGGCTAAAAACCTCTCCAAATGCTTATCTCTCTGCTCGTCCTCCTTCATCCGATCCCGCCATGATCCCGATGGATTTATGTGTGAGAGCCAATGGGATCAGGGGCATAGCCTCCGTAACTTTAGATAAAAAGAACCTCCCAAGCCATAAGTGCTCCTTCTGCTCTCACTCCACCCGTTACCCAGAGGTGCTCTGGATGCATCAAACCGTGGCTCACCGCATCAACAGCAGTAGCTCCAATCTGGCTCCAAAATGGGCTATTAAGAACAACTCTAAGACCTCCAAAGACAGCTCTTCGTCCTCAAAGAGACGCACCGGACCTCCACCTGTACTGGAAGGGAAGGAATGTCAGCCGCTCTCTCCGACGGTGCGGAGCCAGCGGACACGGCCTCCTACCTGCACCAATGAGGTTGTAAAAAAGAGCAGGCCGGTCAGTCACGCAGACACCCCGTCATCATCTTCTACACCTTGTACGCCGTCCTCAAGAATCTCTTCATCCGCATCTGGCAAGCAGGTTGGGAGAGTCCCCGTTCGGCCAGTCAGCAGCAGCAGCAGCACCAGTAAACGTATGGAGGACCAAAGTCAGCGCTTCAGACCCAAGATGGAAATCTATCCTCGTATCAGCGCTCAGGCACCTTCTAGCTCTTTGGAGAAGAACACCGGGAGCCGCTCTCGACCGCCTGCATCAGGCCTCAGTTCCTCTGCACCATCCAGGATGGCAGACCGCTACATGATGCCTCAGGAGGGTCTGGGCTTCATGCTGTCTAATCAACACAGCCTCTCAGAGTACAGCCAAGCCCGGGGCTCCCCTCAGCAACCGCTTACCGGTTCCCAAATCCACAGTCGGCCAACTTCTTCAAGACCCAACGCCATCAATCACTGTTTGCCCACAACAACGCACAACTACGGCGTATCCCAGACACAGGGAGCCGTGGCGCAGGCCTCTTCCTCCCCATCATCATCTTCGATACCATCAGAGAGCCGCAGGGATGTGAAGCAAGAGCCGAGTGCAGAGACACCAGACACCTCAACCGACGTCCTGGGCTACCTGAAGAAATACAACCCGCACAGTCTGGCTCCTTTCTACCACCACTGGAGTGCAGCCAACTCTCTGATGGACCCCACAGGTAGAAATTACTCATTAACCACACTCTGTTCACACATTTTCACCGAGTTGTTGTGCTTCTACAATGAAAAGAACTTTCTCACATGAAATTCCCCATTATCAGCTCACATAAAAGTTGCTTCAAGCAGCTGATCTCAAAGAAAATGTCAAGTGTCAGAAGGAATAAAGAAATGTTTACTGAAATTGGACGGCTTGCTTCTGAGCCCAACAACATTACCTGGCAGAAGAGAAATCTATAAAGAGTGTGCGCTACCTTGCTGCTCTCCCCTTCTAGCGAGGAGCCACTCGCGCCATCAGACCTTTACAGAAATGTAGATGCGCACGTATGATGGAACAACACCGCCTCCTGCAGACCGTACCAGTGTATGCACTTCTGTTTTGCAACTTGTGTCAAAGTTATGAAAATGGTGGGTGTAACCAGGAAGGAGATAAACTCTAACTCTTGACCTGCCTGACAGATGCAGTGAAACATACCCTCAGGATAGTACCACCACCACCGTGTCTCATGGTGGGTTGGTAAGCCCAGATCACTTTTTTAGCGCATCACTTTGACCCACTTGTCCCCGCAGATGGTATGTGGCAAACCTAAAGCAGAAACTCTCATGACTTTCCTTCCAAAATGTCTTTCTTTTAATTCTGTGAATCTCCTTCACAGTTCAATCAAGTCAAGCTTATTCATAAAGCACATTTCAGTGACAAGGCAGTGCAAAATGCCTCACACCATTGACACTTATTTCATTCATCAATTATGACACAAGCAATACATACTACACTTTGTCAAAGACAAAATCAAAATCATCAAGCAAATAGGTTGATGAGGAAACTCAGTGGTTCAGTCTTTGCAGTAAATCTGGAAATGTTCCAGATTTATGGTGCATAGAAGCTGAATGCTGCTTCTCCATGCCTGGTTCTGGTTCTGGGGAGGCAGAGCAGATCAAACCCAGAAGACGAGAGCGGTCTGGAGGGTTGAGACGGCAACAGCAGCTCTTTAATGTACTGTGATGTTAAGCCAGATCTTTAAACTCCATCCATCCATTTTCTGTACACCTTTGTCCCTCGTGGGGTCAGGAGGATTTTTAAACTGATGAAAGTATTTTAAAGTTTTTTCTTGGAGCTACAGGAAGCCAGTGGATCTGTCCCATCTTGCTAGTTTTAGTGGGAACATGAGCAGTAGAGTTCTGCCTCAGCTGCAGCTGTTTGTTGCAGCAATCAACGCAACTAAAGACAAACACATGGATGAGTTTCTCTACATCTTAATCATTTAACCCTAGAAAGGTTATCCAGGCGACAGCAGGCTGACTATGTAACTGTCTTTATGTGACTAAAGAGTTGTAGTTCCGGTAACTATGAAAATCTCAGGTTGCCTTATTGAAAAGCATTCATCGTTTCATTTCCACACCTTTGCACCTTTGTGTTGTTCCGTCACATAAAATCCCCGTTAAGTGCGCTAAAGTTCCTGGTTGGACTTGAATGTTCTTGAGCTTAAGATGTAAAAGCAGTAGTAATGCGTAGATAACGTTTGTCTTTTTTTTCTAACCGTGAAAGACATGAGAGAACCTTTTCTGCTCTCAGGTCTGCGAGGCATTCGCGGACCCCCGCTCCACTGTTCCAGAAAGCTGTCACAAACTGTTTGGGTCACGGCGCGCCGCCTGACGACGAGACTCGCGCAGAGGAAAGCGAACAAACAGAAAAGGGAGGCAAAAACAAACACACACAAAAAAACAAAACAAGAGAGAGATGAGACAGAATAATTACCCCACCAGCTGCTTTGGAAATGGTCATTACCCAACATCCGTAATATTTGCCCAGTTTGGGTTGTGTCTCCGAGGTCAAGCGGGGCTGCACGGAGCCAGGGGTCAGAAACAACAGCCCCAGAGCAGACGTGTGACATCGCTGTCACCCGTCCAGGCGCATATCGTCACCATCTGCCTAAGCCCTTTGAGTCACATGCTATAAAGTGACCTTTTTTGAGCAACTGAGTCTTTCTCCTGTTTCCCTCTGTAGTATGTGCCGACATGTACGTGTGTGTGTGTGTGTGTGTTGGTGCGCTTGTGTTTTCTGTCCAGCTCTGTCTTGTCTTTCATTAGTGCGTCAGTGAGAAGGGCTGGCGGCCCAGAGTGGAAGTGGAGTATCCAGGGGCCAGCAGTCGGGCTGCCAGAGACACTCTCTTTCACCTCTTCCACCTCTCTGTCCTCCTTGTTCCTGCTGTGCCCCCCTCCCTATTCACTCGCTGCCCCCTACCAACACAGAAACATTCATAAACAGCTACTGGCTACTCGTCCAGGTATACGCACAGGGGCGATCCTCGTCCACCGGAGGCTTTGGAGGCATTAAGCACCACGAAGCCTCTGGCTAGTTATCCGTCAGCAAGAGAGGTCATAGGAACGTGTGTGTGTGTGTGTGTGTTTGTGTGTCCGTTGCGTCCAGAACGTCATTGAATGGATATGAGAAGTTTAAAATGCCACATGCACATGTTGCCTCTGCTTCCAATATTGAAGGTGAACTGGAAAGAAGAATCTAGCGTTGGTTCCAGAAATGGAGCTGGTCACAAAAAAGGGTACCAACATGAGCTTTGAAAATGCAAAAACAAACAAACAAAAAAAAAGTCCTACTTCATGTTGAAAACCGACTCCTGGAGCCTGTCAGTTCAAAGCCGGGCAAAAGTATTGACACAGGTCAGCACAAATTGGTGCACAGCTGCAAACTAGAAGGAAAATGATAGCTTTTAGTGCATGTGTTCAGCTCCCCTGTAGCTCTAAATAAAATCAGCTGCATCAAGAAGACCAAGGAAGACAGCAGCCAGGACAACATGTGGAGAAGTTTATGGCATGTTCTAAAAAAAACTTCTGAGACTTGTACATGGCAAGATAGAAAGACTATCGCACAACTGCAAACCTACCGAGAGCGCCAACCTGCGTTTTCCCGCTGCTCAGGTGGGAGAACGTCAGCTGAACTCAACTGGATACCATAAGCTAAACTTCTGGTTTGCACTCTTCACCTAGAGTAACTCAAGTTTAGAGCAAACATGTTGAGCCTTACAAAGTGTACATAACCTCTCTTACTTTGCATTTTGCATAAAGTTTCTCTCTCAAGTTCTTTCTTCCTTGCTGCTTACGTCCATTAACGTGTCTACGCAACGTCAGTGTTACTGTCTGTGTGTGTGTGTGTGTGTGTGTGTGTGTGTGTGTGTGTGTGAGCGCAAGCGCAACCGACCATGTGCATCACCCTCTACCAAATATGCACACTCAGTTCTTGAAACACGTACGCATACCGACACACACACACACACACACACACACCTGACATGTGACACGCGGGCAGCGGAGCGGGCACATCACAGCCGGGGCGTTTTAATTGCCTGTAATTTATGCAGCGTGTGTGTGTGTGTGTGTGTGTGTTGCTGTCAGCCTCTGAGATGATGCTGTGTGACAGCTGCAGTCCAGCCCCCCGAGCGAGCCGCTCATAATGACACATTAGACATACTAATGATGCCTCCCTGAGTCCATTGCTGATGCTACCTAGCTCCGCCGCATCACCCAGGCTTTTACACACACACGCGCACGCAGACACACACACACACACGCATTCAGTCCATTACTGACCTTTACGTCTTCATTTGGTTCCTTCAAACATGGTGGAAAGTGCCTTCCCACTTGTAGCAGTGTTCGGATCGGTTGTAAGTTAATGGTAGCTCCTGATTTTGTTTTTTTCTGTTTGTTCTCCCATAAGTGGCATTTTACAACGGAAATTAGCAAAACACTACATAGTTTTTCATGTCGGAAAAAATAAAGATATTTTAAAGTCCTGTTGATTCACAAAAACTGATCCTCATGTTCTCACACCGCCTTCCACAAGTATTCATACACCGAAGCCTGTCAATAAATCAACTGATCACATGATTAATTAAAACAAGCCCAATCTTTTACATTTTTGCATAATTTCTTACATTTTTCTCCTCACTTTCTTTTTACCAAAATCAAAAGTCTTCAGTCTTTTGCTTTTAATTGAACGACAACTGCATCATGAAGTCACATAAACATCATAACTTATTTTATTTAAAATACCTTCCAGTTTCACTGTGAAATGTTCATTTGAATTTACAGTCTGTTGATCTGTAACAGACTGATTTTTATGCCATTATCATTATATGACTTGAAAATGGTGTCAAAATAACATTATTGTTTGTCTTATAAAATTCTGGGACAATTTATCGTCCAGCAAAATGTGTTATTGTGACTGGCCTACACACACCTGCAACGTCTATAGTTACAACTTCAGTGTGATTTATTGGGATTTGATGTGATAGACCGGTACAAATGGATACATGGATTTTATTGTTTTGTTTTTTTTTTTCCGATTTATCACCCATGCAAAAGCACACCGCACTTTTCAGATACATATATAAATGCTTTTGGTCTGAATACAAAATCCTCTTTCCCTCTGACTTTATTAGTCACTTTGTGCAGATCAGTTTTATAAAATATGCGTAAACTGTGTTGTGACTAATTGTGTGTTCTTCCCCTCTCCTTTCCCGTTTTGTGTTTGTGACAAACAGGGATGCTGAGGTCTCTCATGCGGCCGGGCCAGTGCTTCTGCCGCGAGTGCGGGAAGAGCTTCAGCCAGCCGAGTCACCTGCGCACGCACATGAGGTCCCACACAGGTAAACGCGGCCACGACGTGGACTCGCCGCTCTGCAAATACGCAGAACCTGACAGCGTTTTTTTTTTTTTAATCGAGATTCTAGTGAAAACATCTCGAATTGAGACAGAGCCAAATTAGAAGTATCTTTTAAGCAAGATTTAAGAATCTTGTTTTAAGTCAGTAAGTTCTCAAAACTGGTGATAATGTACTGGATTGTATCATTTATAACATGGGAAAAATTTCTTGTTATAAATGAAATAAACAGCCAGTGGAACTAATACTTTACCGTCAACATTGTGGATGTGTACTAATATGTTTTCACTAGAAGATAGAGATATTTTGTTTTTGCAGTGCAAATAGGAACACAAAAAATACTTGCACTTATCTGACAAATCAGCAAAACGCTCCTTTCTCTGACTGTTGGCAAGAGAGTTCTTTGCAGTTCTACAGTAATTTGTTAATATCTTGCATCGTTAAAAAAGAAAGAAAACTCACTTTTCTTATTGCAATATAATTAAGGTGTCACTTCCTGAGTAGATGGTCTTTAAAACGCATTAAAGTTTCCTTAATGGATTTGATCAAAGCTCCAATAAACATTCTTTAAACTTATGAGGATCCGCGCCCGTTCGGTATTTATTAGACGCTTACATCTTTATTAGGCTCTTGAGATGCTCAACTTAAGAAAGTGTTGCACCTCGGGGAGCCTAAACACAACACCGATATTAAAAAAAGCCTGCTATTAAGCTCTGCTATGAAGACATGTTCAGCAACTTGATGAGAGTTTTAGTTGCTAATCAAGTTCCAAAACTAATCGCAGTAACAGTAGGAGGAACGTTAATAATGACCAGCATGATGTTCCGAACACGCGAGCGCTCCGGCGTCCTGCATTTTTTTTTTTTAAATGTACCGTTCTCTCGTTATTAATGCGCTTTTCTAACTTCTTTAGCCACTTCTTCATCAGTCACTCACACGGCCAACCCCCACAGCTCCATCCAGCCACCGGACGGCATGAGAGATGGTGAATATATGCACGGGAACTCACATTCCCAGCGATCCCTCATTGTCGGACGCCGCGTTCCGACGCCGGCGTCGAGCGGAAATAAATCAAGAGTCGTCTTCCAGTTTTTTTTTTTTTTTCTTTTCCCCCTGTTCAGGCCGTGACAGCCGGAGCTGTGAGTCCCTCCCGCCCCGAGCCGGGCAGCTGTCTCTATTTCATTTTTTTCTTTTTAAACGGAGACGTGATTCGCCGCAGACAGCTGACCTGTGACAAATGGTATACATTATTAATCGCTTGTCAATTAGAGAGATGGAATTGTGCATTCTAATGAAGCGGAACGGCGCTTGTCCACGCCAACTTTTGGGGAAACGGATTTGCAAACAACAGCTCGATCAGGACACACTGTCTTTTCTCTCCTCTCTACTTATGTCCTTTCATTCATTTTTTATTTTCTTTGCTGGTGTCTTATTGTCTCTGTCTTGCTCTGCAAAATTATTCATACCTCAGAAAATTGTTCACCAAAAAAAAATAAACATTGAGATTTAATGTGATAGGATAGGATAGGATAAAGCTGTGCAGCTTTATAAAATTGAAGAAAAATGATTTTGAAACAAAAACGATAATAATAAAAAATTAGTAACAGCAGACATTATGGGGAAAGAAAATGTCCCAGAAAAATTGGAGCAAACAATCTGAACTTTGGCAAAGTGCCACCTTGAACGCACCATCTCAACAGCAACAAGAAGCAAGAAGCAGGTCAAAGTGTATGAATACTTTTGTCATAGCTCTGTATTTCTCCTTACACCTTTTCTTATTTAGTCTGCAGTTCATCTCCTTCTTCTCCTTACATTCTCTCTCTTTGTTCTCCTCGCTGCCACTCGGCTGCCTGTCTCCTGTCTCCTCCTCTGTCTCTCTCTCTCTCTCTCTTGCCCTCCTGTACTGTCATGTCCGTCAGCCGGGCAGGCCGTGATCGCGGTCGACACGGAGATAAGTAGCTTCTTTACGGAGAGTGTGAATGATATGTGGCACAGCCAGTGATTCTAAGTGACAGAGGCCAAATGGTAAGTGATGCAGCGCCAAGCTTCCCCTCAAGCCCCGCTGTTAAACACACACACGCTCACACACAGACCACGCGGAGGGGTCTGTAAACACTCCACCGCGGCTATAATTAATGTTGTCATCCGGAGTCGTCTTCGGCGCGGACGTGCACGCGCGGGAAAAGGCCAGCCACCCCGAGGCCCTCGATTAACATGCGTCACATTAAATCACCGACTCGCCTCCGCCAGGTTCCGTCACCGTCTTCGACCGCCGTCGTCGCCGCCAGATCCCCTCTGCTAACAAGGGCCGCTGGTGGCCAAAAGGCTGCGGTGTTTACGCGGGACAGAGAGAAGGAGAGAGAGGAGGAGAAGAACGACAAGTGAATGCTCGTCTGGACCTGGTGGAAGACTTTGAACACAACCCAAATTGTGTTCTTTTGCGGAGCACTGTCCTGGACTTGTGTTTAAAATCGTACCCCTTTGTGAGACTTGATGAATCAATGAGGAACCATTGATGATGTCACTTTCACAGCTCTGAGACGTTTCAAAACAGATGAACTAATAAGACAATTGCAATATTAAAAAGTTTTGTGCTTCTGTGCCACGGCATGACAACTATTTCAATATAATTTTCCGCTAAAAACTGTCTAAAAGTCCTGCCATTTTGTACAATGCAGGCCAAATTTGGGTGAAAACCTGTCCAATCTGGCAACACTGATCCGCATGTAATCAAAACTTTGTGTCAGAATGTATTGATACTGAAGAAACTTAAATATAGCATCAGTACTTTATAATATTAATCATCTTTTCACACTGATCAGAGCCTCCAGGGTTTTGTGATTGTCTTTGTGATTTTGTGTTGCTGATTTAGAAGTATTTGCAAGAAAGTTTGCTGTATTTGAGCTTATGGATGACTGCAACTTTTTGTTGCTCGCCACATTGATTTTGAAGTATAAGTTGACATAAAGTGAGTGCAGCAGAAGTAAGAAATTCTGCCACCTGCACAATTATACGTTGATTTTCCGTGAATTTCCGTGATATATCGTGGAGTCGCAAAAAAGGCGGAGGGACTGACTGATGTCATTTGGCCGAATTCAGGTAAAAACTGCTCTGATTTGATTGATCAAACAGTATTTAGGCACACGACTGTTATTGTGAAGGTTCTGTTGACATGTCTCTGTGGAGTCTAGAGGGCCACATAGAAGCTCCGGTGGCCCGGATTCGGCCTCCGGGCCTTGAGTTTGACACATGTGTGGTAGAGCGTTTAACCAAATGCCCTCCTCCTCCTCCCTCCTTTGCCCCTACCCCACTCCTCCTCTTCCTTGTCCTCCTCTTCCTCTATCCTTCTCCCCCTCACAGTTGGGTTTGATTATAACGGACTCCACCGAGGTACTGACGCTCACACCACCGCTTCTGAAGCTCCCAAACAAGTATGTGGCACAATGGCTAATCACTGGGCTCCGTCATGGCTTCTGCATGTCTCTCATTGTCGCTAGCTCACCTCATGCACGCCTGCCTGCATGTGTGCGTGCTTATATGTGTGTTTCATGTCCTGTGCATGTTTGGCCCCCTTTTTGTTGTTTTGGGGTCTTTTCATTTGTCTTTGCTCGTGTGTGACCATCACATGTGGCGACCTCGCTGCCTGGCATTCGCACCTGGCATCTTCTCCCCACAAACAGCAGGACCTGTACTCTGTGTGTGTGTGTGTGTGTTCTGCACACTTGGAAACAGCCTAACATCTTATTATAACATCTTATTATAACAATTTTGGTTTTATTTGATTTGTCCATATACGTTTTGGTAGAAAAAGTTTGTTCTGCGCTCGATTCTTTCCGCTGTGCGTCAAGATGATCAGGCTTCTCAACATTTATTCTATAACCAGCGTCAGTTTTAGTCATTTCAGCTAATGAAATGACTAAAACTCATTAGTTTTAGTCATGACTTAGTTTTATATAATGTTGTCTTGTGCCAGCAGAAGCATTTCAGTCTCTTATAGCTCCCTTCACATATATTTGGAAAAGCCTCAAAAACGGTTGCTATGTAGTTTTTTTTTACCCTTGACTTTGTAGTTTTTAGGAGTATGGAGTCCCAATATGTTTCTGTGAAGCATTATCTTGTTTCTCTGCTATTAGCATGTTGAGCAGTGTGTACACAGGAGTGATTGATAGTGTTACAACCCTCCTCTGATTGGCTGTTTTTGAGCAGTAGAGGTGCATTTTTGCAGACCACAATAGTCATGGTGACGTTTTTTTTTTCTGGAAAAAAAAAACCCCACCATATTTTTGTAAAAGTTACATCCTGCAGCTTTAGCAGCCACCTCAGCTCTATTAAGACCACAATGAGTTTGAGACGAATTTGCAACAACAGTCTACAAAACATATCATAGCCGCAATAAACACACATTATTTTTTAAGAAGAGTCCACAAAGCTGGTGTTAGCCAGTTCCACTTCCTGGTTATGACCAAGCCACAGTGAGACCACAGAACAACCAGCAGTTTCTTTGTCTTACTGAAAGAAAAATAAAACCTTTTCATCTGAAATCCACTGAAAGATAAGTTGAATTGTTTTTGCGAACTACTAAGAATGTCCAATTAAGTGTGAGAAGTCCAATAGAACATTTCCTCAAACGCGCAGGTGTTCTGAATGTTTCTGGAGTTGGTCGTATTGGTAAAAGATCTACATCTGTTCTGCTTCTCCCGTTCAAACAGAGGCGGATTCTCAGACTCCGTCGTCATTTATCACACAGCTCGCACGCAGACTCAGATTTACCTCGCACTCTGAGTGATGGGAGCAGGCGCAGCAGAGGGGTCCAATTAGATGTACCGTTGACGCTGCTTTACGACGACGATAACCTTTAGCATAATGTAGTGCACCGGTCCCGTCATGTTTCCTCCCAGGACGATGTCGTTTAGGTTCTCGCTTTTCCCCTCACGTCTCTTCTGCCTCGACAATTTTTATTTTTTTCCATGTTTTTTTTTTAAATTTGTGATTAATTACACCTTTTTTTTCGTTGTTTTTATCCCTCTAACTCACCTTCCCCGTATTTCTTTTCTTTCTGTTGCGTTTCTGATGATGTATGATAACAGCCATATTTCCTTGTTTCTTCTTCAGGGAGAAAGGTGCGGGAGGGGCGGCGGGAGCCATTTGTTTTCCCACTTTGATATTCTTCCATTTATCAAAATGATAATTAGGTGCAATTAAATGGCACTCTCATTTGTTTTCACATGTGTATTGCCTTTTTTTTTTTTTTGCTTCCTTGCAGAGGTGTCTGCGCCATTGTAGGTCAGTCTAATTAGAAGAAAGTGCACAGGGTTGTGTGTGTGTGTGTGTGTGTGTGTGTGTGTGTGTGTGTAGGTGGAAGGTGCATGCATCAGCCAGTGATTGAGTGAAGTAGAAAGAAGACAAAAGAACAACTGTTCAGGCAGAAGTATTTAACTTGTTTCTGCGAACTATTCTTCGTCTCACAGTAACAACTTGCCCACGAAGAGTTTTTTGAGACCAAACAAACAACAAAAATTATCTAAAAGTTGGATTATTTTGTTCACTTTTGACATCAGAAGTAAAAAAAAATATATATTTCAACAATGTGAATGAAGAACAATATAAACAAAGAAAACAGGAACTGAATAATTGTCACAATCTAAAAAGTAGAATAAATGTTCATTTGAGCAAACAAGTTATGCTGAAATTACAGTGCCACTGTAGAAAGATTCAGTATTTAAAATCAGCAACAGGTATTGCAAAAATGTATGCAAATTTTTTCCATTGCTCACACATCATTGTGTTTACATTTCAGATATGTTTGTGTGCTGTCAGTTCTTGATAAATGTGTTCTTTTTGTGACATCTCGGCCTCCAAAGCGCTAACATTTTTCATCATTTTTTCATCAGAGAAAATGTAAGTTCTTTCATATTGATGCTGGAGTGACTTTACATTTTCAGCTGATTGCGAAGTTGCACCTACCTGTTGCTACCCACAGTGGGCGAGAAGGCTGAAAGAACACTGCTACAATTTTCTCGCGCTTGCAGACGAGGTCAGCCGTTTACTCACCAATTATTTACAAATGAAAAACAAAAAAAACACACGCACAGAAAAAGTGTTTGAAAGACTCATCCAATGCTTTTTTCCGCCTTTCCGACTTCAGTGCTGTCTCGTGCATTCGTTCACATTTGCCTGTGTTTGTTGTCGCCTCATTTGTCAGACACGTCGCTGTGCTTCGTTCGCTGCTCTCCGTGTCGAAGCTCTTCCGCTCCTGCTTTACGGCGTCGCACGTGGCTCGTCGTCTGACCTGTCGTCTGCCTGTGTTTGTTCTCCAGGGGAAAGGCCATTCTGCTGCCAGCTCTGCCCATACCGAGCATCCCAGAAAGGGAACCTAAAGACGCACGTGCAGAGCGTCCACCACATGCCTTTTGACAACAGCCAGTACCCCGATGCAAGGAGCTCGTCTCTGAGTCAGGAGGAACGGAAACCAGTGGCTGCCAAACACGTACCAAATCTGCAGTGACCCCGACGACAGACCTTACTGTGATTGACTGGACGCGGACGACTCCTGAAACCCCAAATCTGAACCAAGACTCTCGAGAGACTCACGATTCTGGAGGAATGAAGGTTCTTAACTGGGTTTTTTTTTCTTTTGCAAAAAGGCCTGCCAAGATATGTAAAAATTACTTTAAAAAAAAAAAAAAACATGAATCAGAAAAGAATTTCTGACGACGACATGAAAAGACGTACAAGCTGAAATGAAGATTGAAAAATCTTAAGTGTCTTCTCAACAAATTTTAAATCTTTTGCAAAATTTCGGTCATCTTTTGGACACAATGTTTGTGTCATTTCAAGAATTTGTGAATCTTTTTTTTTGCTGTTGTTGCTGTCAGAATTAAGATCCCGCTCTTGCTTCTGTGTTTGAGGTGTAAAGTTGCCAAGTGCCACTTAAAGTAACGAGTCAAGGGTCTATAAAGACGCAAAAAGTTAACTCATACGGAGCTGGTTTAATCAAAAACAGTGGAAGTACTTGATGGCCACCGTTGTCCTTCAAACACTCGCTGTTTGGCTTCGTTGTACATGAGTGTGGACAAATCGACAGCAGAAGAGGATGCCCTCTGGATTCGAATTCAGAGAAGGACAAATCACAATCTGCTCACCACAACTTCTTCACTGCAGGAAACTCGCTGCTTAGAAGCTGCAGGGAGGGGCAGGAGGAGAAAGGAAGAACGAGAGAAAGCTAAAGGTGATGTGAGCTTAAGTGCTCATTAAGAACATAAGAAGGAAAGATGTGTTTTTAATAGCCGATATAAATGAGCATCCCATTTTTAAGGCCATTCATTTATTGTCCATTTACAACAAAGAGTTTTCCGTTATAACCTGTTCATAAAACAATTTCTGGCTCCAAATTAGGCCGAGCCTTCATCAAGAGTAGCAGGGAGGAGTTGGCCCCAAATTTTATTGCACTGTGTGCACTTGGAAAAAATAAACAAAAAAGAAATTGGTACTATTGAAAAAAAAAACTCTCAAACAACATGCACTTGGACTTTTCTGCGTATTCTTTCGCACAATGATCTACGTAATGACATCATGGTCATAATCTAGTTAGCTGGGTTTTAAAACAAAACACATTTTCATCTGGTGATTTGCGCCATCAAGTTTGGAGAAACGCAGCGTTGATGAATTTGCTGGTTATATGAGACCTGACATAACCTGGTTATACTGGGAAGGTGGCAAGTAGTGACAAGATGTGAGCTTACGTCAAAAGTAAAGAAACTGGACAGAAAATATTTAATACAGGAGAAGAACAATCTGAAAACTAACCACCAGTGAAAGCTTTAAGCTTCTATGGTAAAACTATTAAAGTTCAATCAGTTAATGTTGGTTATTTCAGGAAACATGGTATTTCTGTTTGTAACGGTTAAACTAGAGATGCACCAATTAATGAAAGGATGCATGTGAAATTTTCAATATACACAATTTTGTACATACATTCAGAACGTTTTCACCCTTCCTGGCGTTATCGATTCCTCAAATAAGGAACGGACGTGACGGATGAAAACAAAGATCAAATGATTCCACAGTTATTTAGCACCATATGATTGAAGACCGAATGCTTTTTCAAAACCTGTAAGTGCTCACTGATACTGAAGTTAGCCTACTTTGAAATTTCTTCCTTTTGGTAGTAACTTCCACACCAAAGAGTGTTGTTGCTGCTGATGAACAGTGGAGGACGGTCCCAGTTATTCAGTGCATCTCTATGGTAGATACAACTCAGTACCATTCAACCCCTACATAAACTGTTTTGTTCAATTTTACTTTCAACTGTGCCTCATTTGCGATATAAAAAAAAATAATAATTTTTTTTTTTTTTAGCTAATGTCAACATGAGAAATGGGCACTTGCACAAGCATGCCAGTCCATAACCAGATGTTGAAGATTTGAAGAGATAACAGAGCCAGTCTCCAATGCTGTCGGTCCCATTCTGTGAATGGTGATGTCTAGATCTGTATTCTGCTGATAGGAGGTCAGAGGTCAGGAGATGAGATTTCTTGGGACTTTGGGGATATATACATCAGGAGTTGGCTTGTTTTGAAGCCCTCGGAGACATAGAGCTGTCACAGCCTTAACGGGGGTTAGTGTGGGTTTAGATTGTCACCTTTCCAAACCTTCTATTTTCTACATTTCCGTCTTGATGTTCTTTATACTGTCCTACCTCCTTCGCAGTGAAAGCCTGTTAAAAGTTTATCGCAATGAAGCTGAACTCATTAGCTCTGCTCGCTTTTCACCCTTAAAACAAAATATATATATATCCCTCACTTGAAATCAGGCATGCCTGGATGAAACGAGGAAACGACAAAAGCGAAAGCAGCTCCAGACTTTTCAAAGCCGACTTCCTGGACTGAGAAATCTGAACGGTAAAGCTAACGAAAAGGCGTTTTGTACTCGTTTCAAAATGGCAGTACTTTTTACATGCTTGTAGGTTGTCCTTGTTTTGCAATGCATACAATGCCATGTGCTTGAATTTGCCTAATTTATACACACGTGTGTGTATGCGTGCGCGTGTTTGCGTGTGTGTACAGAAGGCGCGGGTAGTTAAAATACTTGAAACGGATCCTCTAGCCTTTGGGGGTAGTATAGTACTAAAACCAATGTTGTACAGAATTCCCTTTAAGATTAACTCCTCAGAGTTTGTACTCCAAAGTGTGACTTAGAAAACTGTAAAGCGGGAGTGAGTGTGTTTAAAAACAAAGTGTATCTGTAATCCACTTTTACCAAACCCTTTATAAGCAGCAGTAGAAACCAAATGGCATTACTAGTGCACTTAGGCTAGGTTAGCGCTTTAACTAGTTTCATTTGTCTCTACGTACAGTTAAGATCTCTTTAAGAATGTCTCCCTTTTTTATTTTAATTGGTGCCAGCTAACAAACTTCAGTGTCAGTCTTGATATAGATGCTTCTTTGGGGGATGTTTTTTTTTGTTAAAATGATTCCAGATATTCCAATGATTAGAAAAAAATAATAATAATGAAATAAAGATTTATCACATGACGGCTGTACAGCACAGCTTTTTTAGTGTGTTCTCTATGAAAAGATGGATGTTGCTAGCTACAGCTGTGCTTTTTTAAACAATTTTGTCTTTTTTGTTTTTTTTTATTTTGGAGCTTATTTTCTCTAAACTGTAGGATTTATTCATTAGCTAGTCAAAGCAGACACCCCAGAGGGACTGGCAGGTGTTTCTTTTTGGTTGTTTTTTTTTTCTTTTAATTTCCATGCCTATTATATTGTGTTATTTTTGTCTGTATTGCTGTTTTTTTTTTATATAACTTGTTTTGGTCTATGATTAATTTACCCTAGGAAACATTATTATTCCAAATGTACTTGGTTGAGATCTGTATTTATTATCACTTCAAAAACGATGAGAGGACAGGAGCGAGACGGGGTTGTTTGTTTTCATTTGATTTTTCCAGGTTGTTTTTTTTTTCTACCGTGTAGTTTTGTTTTGTCTTGTTTTTGAAGCCAGCAAGCCGTCGTGGAAGCTCTACCTCGTCTGAGCCATTCTCAGTTCTGTTACACTTTTGTACATCATTTCAGAAAGATGTAACATCATGTCCACAATAAAGATCAATACACAAATATGGTGCCTGGTTGCCTCGTTGTTTTTTTTTTAAATCAGTCATTTCATGGAGTACCTCAAATTGTAGCTGGTCACGTCTGATATTTAGTAACCTTCATGATGATTGTTCTTGCTTCCATTAAACAGCTGAGCTATGTCAAGGCTGCAGTTAATTTTACAGAAATGTAAAGGACAACCTGAAACAAAGATGTCTACATAAAGACATCATTTAGATCAAATAATACTGGTGTGTCGTAATGGCTCAGATAAAGACCAGAGCTAAATTTAACAATTGATGTGCATAGATGCCTATCCATTTAGCCTGATTGAGGTTCAGCTGTTTCAGAAACAATAACAAGCAAACACCTCCAGCCCTTTGTCAACGATTTTCTTCGTAACCTTTATGGACAGCAAATGTGATGAATTTTGCAGATGATGTCGTTCTGTTGGCTTCACACTGCCATCTCCAACTTCCACTGGAGCAGTTCAAGTTGAATGTGAAGCAGGCAGAATGAAAATGAGCACCTCCAAATCTAAGACCTTGATCTTGAGTCAGAAAAGGGTAGAGTGCCTCCTCTCGGTTGGGGATGAGATCCTGTCCACAGTGGAGGAGTTTAAGTTTCTCTGGTTCACAAATGAGAGAAAAATGGAGTGAGAGCTCGATAGGTGGATTGGTGGAAGAGCTGTCCTGGTTAGTTGTAGTGAAGAGGGAGATGGGCAGAAAGGTAAAGCAAAAGTCGATCTATGTCTTTAATTTTTGGTCTAGTCAAGATTGTCAATCAACTACATTGAACTTTGAGGTTGTTGTATCACAGAATGTTCAAGGTACATGACTACTCTGGTGAAGCATGTATTGATCATCAAACCCTTCTACCCTAACCCATTCCTGCATGTCTTTGTGAACACGGAGCAACTTTGATAATTACTTGCAGTGCGAGTGTTGCTGATCCACGGTGAGTTGAAAACAGATCAAACCTGTACCACACCGCAAGCAGCCGCTCCCTTTCATACCGCAGTGACACGACCGACAGACCCTGACTTTGATGTTCGTCCAGGCCTCTCCGCCACCTTCATGTTCGTGTGTGGCCCTGCAGCCGAACTCGAGCTGCCCCAGCAACGATGATAAGAAACTCACAACCTTCAGCTCTGAGCGACCACCTGGGGATCGGCTGCTACTTTGCCAGTCCCTTTCATGTTCTTGCCTCTGTGTGCGCGCGGCGCGCCTGTCAGTTTGAGTGACGCCTGAATGACAGGTTCCCTCTGAGAACATGGCACACCGCGTTAATGCCAGGCAGGCCCCGTGGGCTGAGAACAGACTGCAGCTGCCCGTCACTCTTCCCAGACCTCATCAGTCACTGCGAAGGCAGACGTGAAGGCCCTGAGCTCCCTGGAAAAAACCTGTTCGCTGACATCTCTTCTTTCTGTCACACAGCAGAGAGACGCTGACTGACTGGATGACTGACTGAGGCGGAAAAATACGCCAAACTCGAGGCTGACTCTCAGCTGATGGATAGGTACATTAGAGAACACTATAGTGTGATTTTTTTTTTATGTGTCATAAAAGAAAGCTGCTGCTCTTAGAGGAAGTCTTGTTTTGCAGGTGTAACCACAGGGGGGGATCGGTTTTCCCAAAGCAGAGTGACTTTTGAAGACTTTTTAAGAACGTGTTTAGAGTTTCTGTTTTTTAACTAGTATTAATTGGTATTACTTGGGGAATGATTCAGCTGACTGTGAAGCTGGCTACCCTACAAGTTTTGTTCTGCCATCTTGTAACATCCAACGATGATGAATGATGTACTTTAAGTGCAAGTTGAAGTATCATCAATTATATAGTACCACACTTGACCAGGGTGGCATTTGTAAAATAATAAACAGGTGGCACCATGACTTTTTTAAAATTAAAAATCACATTCCTTTTTAAATATTGACCTTGGCACTTATCTGATAACCAAAGCAAACAAAATTTTAGTGAAGGTGAATTTTACAACTTATAATCTTTTGAAAGAGGCTGATTTCAAAAATGTTGAGCTATTGTGTCTCTATTTTCTCTAGTCAAATCAAGTCCAGTTTAAATCTGACTACCATCTCCCATCTCCAAGTCAGAGGGCCTGATCTCAATCTGCCACCAGGGAGCACTATTCCTCTCTAATGGCTTCATAAATGTTTTCCCTTTTTTTATTTTAGAAGGGTCCAGGTCTGCGTTGAGAGGACCAAATGGCACTTGTACGTGCAGGATGGCAGCTTGGAGTAAGTGTACTTAAAACACACTAGGGCACATATCAGCACGGAAGCCCTGACTACAGCTACCACCAGAGAGTCTGACTCCTCCGCATTTCTCAGGCAAAAGGCCAAACACATTTACAACACTTCAAGTGTCTGCGACACAAGAACGCCCTCTCCACTGTGAGATATGTAAATATTGCACTAATCAAAGGGTTGTGGAATTGCAAAATGCCACGGAAAGGTTATGACCTGGAGCCTGTGCTAATAGGGGAGAGAGGGAGGAAGAGGGGAAGAGTAGGAGGCGGGAGGGCTGGGGGGGCGGAGATGGGCTGAGCTGTGGTGGTGGAGGTGGGAGGGAGGAGGAGTGACAGCTACCACAGGCGTTCCTCCTGCCTGAGGAGGACCTTCACATGCTGACCTCCGCCTCCTGCACTCCAACGCTCTGACAGTAATGAATAGAAAGGGGCTGTTTATGCATATCAAATGTTATTTACTCTCGCACAGTCAACTGTAGCCACAGAGGACAGAAAGAGAGCAGAAAAAAAAAAGAATAAAAATAAAACCAGGATATTCCCAGAGACCGCCGGCTGCCTTTGGAACAATGTGGACAGGAATGCAAAGGCCTCTGTGGTACACAGAGGTTAATCTGTCCATCGCAGTGGATTACATGACATGGGTTTTTGTGGGGCTTTACATGGACTTGCCGCATTGTTCGCTAGAGGTGGGTGAAGGTCTGTCACGATGTCTGAGTTTTGCTGGATGATAAAATGTCCCGGGAATTATCGCGATAAACGATGATGTCATTTTCAGACCGTTTTCAATAATAACAGTCAATCTAAGATCTAGAAAATGTCTAACACTGGAACTGGAAAACATTTTAAATCTCCAAACTAAAAAGACAAAACAACAATTAAAATGGATTATGAGGCCTCTGTAACAAAAGTATATTAATCTTAGTTAGGGTAAACAGAAAAAAATGGTAATTAGGACCTTAGTGCAAACTAACTACTTTGCACAAATATTTGCAGTGTCAAAACACTGGATTTTCAAAAATATTAAAAGGGGAGCATCTCTAACAATTGCCGTCCAACTTGAAATGATCAATTTGATTTTATTTTACCTTGTGATTGATTTATTGCTTATTGTGACAGGCCTATGTGGGTGGATCAATCAAAAGTATCGATATCGGTATCCACATGGAATCGACACAAGTGCGGTAAGACTGAACTTCAGTTTCCCTCTTGAAGTTTTAACTAATTATTTACTTGGTATCAATATCAAAATATACATCATCGCAAACCTCTCCTCCATCGCACAATTTTATTATCACACAGATGAAAGCCAGCGCAGTGTTTTCAGAACCAAACTCTACAATGAGCTCTTGATATTTAACCCACACAGTCATTATTCCAACTATCCACCACCACCAGGCTAAAAGTCTATATCCAGCCACAGAATCTAGGGGGGCGGCAGGCTGTTAACATGCATTCTGGTCGTGTAACATATTTTTAAGCAGGATTAATTCTTCTCCACATTGACATGATTGCTCTTAAATAGCACAAACCTTAAAAAGCCAGAGGGAACAGAAAGGAGGAGGGAAAAAAAAGCCTGAGCAGAATTATTCAAGGGAATGACGTTCAACTCAAGAAAATAACCTTCAGCGTGAACAATAAGGAATCAGCTGCCAGAAAACGTTTGTTTTTTTTTTTTTACTCCCAGATGCCCGTGTGTCATCGCCGTCGGTTCACGGCTCGGCCTCATTTCCGACCAACCCCTTTTGAGAATTAAGTTGGATCTTAAGGATGTAAATGAGAACCTATTCGGTGGCCCCCATCCCTCTCATGTGAATCCCAGGACAGAGCATGACATTTAACATCGCCTTCACTAATTTGTGCTTAATAGCCAAAAAGTTATTAGAATTAACGTTAATGACATTTCATATGTCTCCCCCCTTTCTACATTCATTGCTCCTTCTCTTCTGCTGCTAGTTAAGCAGCTAATGCCGGGGTGTCTTCCGCTCACAGCTTAAATATCGCGTTACACTTTTTGCCAGAAATCTTTCAGTCGCCCTGTTTTTTTCCCCCTTCCAATCTTCACTTTTCACAGCCTCACAAAACAAGAATTAAAGAATCAAAGTAGAGGAAGGGAGGGAGAGCGGTGTAATAAAGCGTTTTAAGTTGGAAATCTATTCTATCGGTCAATTTGCACCAATTGACACGGCGCGTTGCGGGAGATTAAGCCGTTTGTTGCCCGTTCTGTCAATCTGACCCCCTTTTGTCAAAAGCACTGTCCAAGGAAAGAACGGGGAGTATTTATATACTTCCCTCTGATCCGTGTGTTAGGAAGACGAGGAGATTATTGTGTTAAAGATGAACATTTTGTTTCTCTCAAAACAAGCCCAGCCGGCCGGGGAGGCCCTCCTCTTTCCAGCAATTAGCGATGGTCTGCAACCTTGCTCAAGGGCGGTGGGATTTTCTCGTGTGTTTCTTAGGGGAGGCCACTGAATTCCTTCAGCAGCTACTAGGATCCAAAAGGAGCACCCCAAGGTGTTACCGCGTGACTTCAATTTAACGGCAGAACATGTCGTTGAAGAGGGAGGTGAACAAAGAGAGGGTTGTTAAAGTAGCAGTGCTGAATTATCTTACTGTGTGAATTGTAATTACATCACAGCCATACGGCGACCAGCTCAAATATTATCAGCGATATTGTGCCTGTTTTTCTGTGGCAATCTGAGGGCAATTTCAATTTTAAAAGCAATAGCCTATGAATAGCCCGTTAATTAAAGCCATTCTTGCAAGT